AACAATGGAGTCAGCCTCATCGACAGACTTGCCTACGAAGTCATGGACCGAGTTGGAGTCCTGGTAGTTATTCTCTTTTCCATTGTCACACATAGCTGAATGTGGCAAAAAAAAGGGAGGAAACCCAACAGTTTTATAGGCGGGCTGCAAAGACCATTTCGGATCCTTTTTAGAGCCCGATAACCGACGGATGCGGAACTAGATTTGAGCACCGAAGCCGAAGATGGAAAGGGATTAGGTGCATTTTCTAGACCCCGGCGAGTTTTTCAGTGGCGATGATGGTGGGGAAGGATTTTGGAAGTAATCCCCCATCATTTCCTGGGCGTGGAGGTGGTGGTTGAACCATGTCTGCCAATGGGATCATTCACTGTCACATTGAAGTATCCTTGGTCCTTGGGATCTCCTTTGTGTGTCAACGTTACCGGCTTGATTTCGGAGGTCTTGATGACCCCAATATATTATAACTGCCACCTAAACGTCGATAATGGTGATGTTGCTGCCCAGTTTTTCCACTTTCTGACGTTTTGGTTTAAGAGCTTTCGCGTGAGATAGATCTGGTCGTTTGACGATAAAAACTACTGGTTCTTTTGTCTATCGCCAAACAAGTGCGAAAGCGACCTTCTTCTCAGGGTCCAGCCGCTGGTACGACCGGTCTGAAGAATGCTCAGCGGCTCAAGTTGGTAGAAGAAACATCAAAAGCTATGAGGTCATTTGGGGCTAGGGAAAGGGCACCGGCCGGCTAGTTTCTGTGGTCCAACATCTGGGTGTACGGGTCAGAACTTGTGTGGATGTAAGGGTCAGAACTTAGGGAAGTGTATTTATTTTAGGCGCGAGTACAGCATCAGACATGTTGGTTCAAACAGCTTTTCGAGAATAGGCTTCAGTTTAGCATCAAGCATTCATACTCATATTGTGGACTAGAGGATATGTATATTGTAGCACAGAACTGAGATTCTCATTTTCGCAAAAACTACGGGACGTGCGTGCCCAGATGACATGATTTATCTATACATTAGATCCACTGTTTAGGATTCTTCAACACTTCTACCAATTGTTCCTCCCGCGAGCCAGGTTCGGGGTGGTGGTCATATATCCAGGTGGCATTGAGTGGCAATGACATCAAAATACTCTCGATCCGGGCGCCGGGTGTCTGAAGGCCAAACTGAGTGCCTCTATCGATCACCAAGTTGAATTCTACGTATCTTCCTCTTCTTACCTGTTGCCAGTGTTTTTCAGCGTCCGTGAACGGGGTGTGGATTCTTCTTGCCAAAATGGGTATATAAGCCGCCAAAAATGCCCCGAGACATTCGTTGACCATCAAAAGAAGCTCATCAGCAGACTTGATGTCCACATCGTCAAAGAAAATTCCTCCAATTCCCCGGGCCTCGTTTCTGTGTTTGATGTAAAAGTACTCATCACACCACAGTTTGTACTTGGGGTACAAACTCACATCGAACTTATCCAAGGCATCTTTGTGGCACTGGTGGAACAATTTGGCATCATCCTCGTACAAATAGGTAGGAGTTAGGTCGGCACCACCGCCAAACCACCACGCGTCACTCTTGCCGGTCTCGGGATCCAGGGTCTGGAAGTACCGATAGTTCAAGTGCACGGTGGGCGCGTGGGGGTTTGTACAATGAACAATCATCGATAATCCACACACTTTGAACTCGATGGTGCCATCGACAGCAGCCTTAAGGTTTTTGTGGTTGACTTTCATGCGGGCCACGGCGGCTGGGGGCAACACCCCGTGAATGATGGATATGCCTATTCCGGCCTTTTCAATCACTTTTCCGTCTTGAAGTACCATGGTAACCCCACCTCCTTTACCATCTTCTCGGTCCCACTCATCGACGTGGAAGGTTTTCTGGGGTTCCAACGCCTGGAGAGCGGCGGCGATCTGCTTCTGCTTGAAACGGATGAGTTCCTCCATGCGATCGCGCACGGGGATCAAGGTGTCTTTTAAGCGGGTCTCCATGGTGAAGTTGGTGGTGGATTTTGTGGGAACGACGGTTTTTTATAATCGCGGATGGGGTGATTTTGGGTCGCAATGGGTTGATGCGCCCTGTTGTCGCGGTGGTTCGATGCCTCGCGGGCGCTACCACTAGATGCACCACCACCTCGCTCATCGTTGATATTCACGCATATATTAACAATTATTTTCTAATAAAAACCTACGTACAGATTAATGCTTCTTCAGTTTGTTACCTTTAGGTACTCTGGCCAACCAATAACAGAACACAGTTCCAATGATGTTGATGGCAATGAAACCAATAAAGATACCGAAGTTTCTCCATCTTTCTGAGTATACCGAGCTCACCGATGCCAAAAAGGCATTGGTGGACTTCATGGTACAGAATTTACATCCTTCAGTGGCACTAGGGTTGATAACGTTACCACCAGCAGTTGAAATGTAGCTCGACATGTAGTCACCACAGGTTTGACCAGATGGTGGATCAAAGTGCAACAATTCCTTAGCTCCGCATACAACTTCAGTATTGGCCAAACCAGCCGACAAAATACCTTGGATGAGATATGTCATTGGGTTAGCTCTGTACATGAAGATCCAGAATCCTGGTAAGAAATCAGGACCAGCCAACACACCACAGAAGTTAAGACACATAGTAAACAACATGGCTGCCAAATTAGCAGCATTATCAGCAAGCTCGTTGAAAGACATGGCCCATTGAGCCAT